TTGTTTATCACATCTTACTAGTGACAAATAAAGTCGATCGAGTGTTGCTCTTATATCAAAAGGTTTATCAGTTAAAGGAACGCTTTCCTGGTTTTAAAAAGAGGAGACAGTATAATCAAAGAAGACGTCCATATTATGGGTGCAGTGATTCAGGGGATTATACTGAGGCCAGGGAACCACTCCTTGAACAAACTTTAATTAACTAATGCTTGATCCCATTTTTATAATTTTAAGCCAATTTTTAATAATAATAAAATATTTGCTTTGATTGAACACAATTTTTTGAGTTTCTTATGAGAAATAAACTGAATTCATAAATAGGCAGTTTCAATAGGTATCCTCAATGCAAAACTATAGCATTCTCCCCAGTGACAACAAAATGAACTAATCTATTATTATCACATTGTATGCTAAATTTAATCATTTTATTAATTGTAACCACTCCTTTATGAAATACTCCATCATGTAAGTTTGTGTTTGATTGACTGCCTTAATTTAAAAGGAAAATCCATTTTTACCATTTACAGACTATTCCAAAATTCCCAATACCAATCATCTAATACAACATATCACATGCAAATTAGCATTATACATGTACATGATTATTATTTATTGCATGTGCTATTTTAGGTGTCATTATCATTCCATTTCCAATGGACCAGTGCCACATGGTATAGTCAAACAGACAATCTTAATGAATCTTTGACATAACAACAAATTAATATTATTGAGTTGTGTGTCCATGCATTGTTTATGAAATGGAATATTTTTTAAAATTTATTATTTGTCTGCAATGAGAAACCTCAGTTTACATTTGATGATTGGTAATATTGAAACACTACTATAGTATTGTTTGTAAACAGCTAAATAGCTTTCCAAAACTATTATTTGCACTGACTATAACAAATTTACTTTTACTTTCAATTCCTATACATTGATTCATCTTGTTTACTTTCAAAATTATTATTTTTGACCATTTCAATAGATTTGTTATTTTTACTTTCCCCAGCCTGTGCCTGATGAGTAGTTAATTATTTAGTCATCTATATACTATACTGAGACATCAATTTATATTGCAAGGATTAATGAAGCCGTCATCTTTCCCACCCATGAAAGGAGAAACTATGAATTCCATTTGGAGTGGCCTTATATAATGCAACAATTGTTGTTCACAACTTCACACTTCTAAGTTAAATCATTTTGAAATATGAACATGTATCTATTCATGCTCTTCTTTTTTGCCTTGCCTTTGGTTCCTGCTGCTGTCTATGTAAACACTAGCCATCAACTGGAAGGAATTTTATGTAACAAAACTAAAATATTAACAGGCAATCTTTTCCTTTACCTTGACACCAGGATTACTCACCAGATCAGGTCTAATGGTGTTTTCTGTCCAGTTAATATGAATCACTATTCTCTCACTATTACAAGTGACTCCAATGATTCATTTGCTGTCATTAGTTGTACATCTAGTGACAAGTACTGGACAAGAGGATTCGCATTCTATGGCACCAATGGATCACTGACAATGAGAGGACTGCATTTCACTAACTGTGGTACTAATCTCACTACATTAGATAATGACATCATTAATTCTACCACTTCTTCTATTCATTTCACTAAACTTCAGGCTGCTGTACTAGTATTGACTGATATTGCTAGTTTTACTGTTAGCAATGTCACTATCATTAAGTACAGTGGTTTTGCCATAGTAGCAGTTAATCTTC